TAAACTTCCCACCAATTACATGATCCATGGTAAAGCACTCTCAAACAGCTTAGGCTAACCCAATTTAAAAACTTTGAAGACCCCCAAAAAAAAAAAGGAAAGAAAAACCCTTGCCCCAACTAAAATTTAGAGGAAACTAAAAAATTTCTAAAAGATTACTACTTTTATACAAGTAAATAAGAGGGAAAAAAGCTCCCTTAGATCAACCAAACAGATTTTACCAAATAATTCCTACTATTTGTACAAACTACAGTTTAATCAGAAAAGTTCAATTTTTTGAAAAATTAAGAGAAACCCAGAAAAATTCTTAGAAAATAAAAAACGCCCTTCTTATCAGATCCAACAGTAATAAAGAGTTGAAAAAAGGGGGCTGCATAACACTATTAACCCAGAAAAAAAAAATGAAAACAAAAAACCCTAGAACTCGAATTCAACGGCGATGATTATTGAAAATACGGAACAACTTTTCGATTATCATACGGCATTGCCCAAAAATTGGCACAGCGATGATATAATAATGGAGAAAATTAGGGGAAAAAAGAGTCGTTGAAGAAGAGGATTGAAATTAAAGCTAGTTGAGTAGGGAAAATTAAAAATCGAATCTTGAAAAATCGAAAATTCAGGAAATTATAGATCTGCTAAAGAGTTTGGATCTGTGTAAGAGAGAGATTCTCCCGGAAAAAAAAAATGAGGAGAGAGAAAATGAAAGGAGGAAGAAGAAGAGTTTGGCAAAGGGAAGAAACAAAAAGGAAGAGGATAATAAAAGGAAGATGAAGAAAGCAGCAAATTGTGATTATTGTTTGTTATTGGTGTTAATTAATTATTAAAGTGTAATTAGTTAATTTATCATTTTTAATTGAATCTCTTTTGATAAAAACATAATTGAATCTTGCTAACAAGCGCTTAAGGCGGTAAAAACAAATTACTCCGTGTTATATTTTTTAAGATGATATTTTAGGTAAGAATGGATGTCAAACTCAAGTATTGGTTAATGTAATTAATTTAATGTTTTTATTTTTAGTCATTTTAATTAACGTCTTTGGAATGTCTGTTAGCTTTTGCCTTTTTTATTACTGATGAAAGGAAATTTTAATTTATTTTTTTCATCATGTAGCATGCGCCATACATTTTGCTGGATAGACGTGTAGGGTGTTTGATGTGAATCGAATTTGATTGAATATTAGGCACTTTATGCAATTTACTATGCAATTTACTTATTCATAGTTTTAATCAACTAAATAAATTATTACTCCGTACTTTATTAGTTGATAGTCGCAAAATACTAAAATAGTACAAAATGTATTAAAGGATTGATTATATGGAAATATTGATTTCATGCAAATATGTTTTTGGTTATGCTCTATATTCGAATTGTCAATCACCACTTCTTAGTTAGCTTGAATTATTGAGACAAATTGTCCAAGGAAAATATAACTATTATTCTACAATTCTTTATTCCTATGCTTAAGTTGGTTGGATGGTGTTTGTAGTTTGTTGGGGAATAAATTCTCTAATTTCATTCAATACATAAATTGTTCATGAGTGATCACTTCAATTAAATAATTTGATTAAGTTATTATTCTTCTTTTGTTCCAAAGTAAACTATATATACTTATCTTTATTTAATGGTTTATATGAGCACGCGAACATTTCAATAAATCATGGAGTACAAAACGGTAAGGAAAATAAGGTAAATACATTTAGATTAATGTCAAATAATTAAAGTAAAAGGAAAAAATAAACGCATAAAAATAAACAATAGTCATTTTCCTATTTTGTATGCATTTTGCAAATACGGAGTAAGCTATAAAATGGAGTCCTAACTTTGGATCTGTTGATTAGTAGTCCATCACATGCCTTAAGTCCAACAATAATGAAGCAATAGCTCATTTAGAAGGGTTAAGTTCAAATATGCTTCGAGTGTAACAACCAAGAATACCTTTAATGTCACTGTAAATAGTTAACGGAGAGATCTCAAGCTACATTCTCATTCATACACTTGTGCACATCAATACCAAGAAAGGCAAATGCTTTTATAACCAATAGCAGCCTTAGGGACCAAGCATGCTTTATGGAGTTGGTAGGGAACTCACCTTGTGACTTGGAGGTCACAAGTTCAAATTACAAGTTCGAGCCCCATCATCTACAAATGCTTGGGAGTAGGGGAATTTTCTTACCTTTCCCCCTACTCTCAAGCAATCACCTAAAATAGCAATCTTAGGGAGATATTCTAGGCAAATACGATGAGTGACTTTTCTATAACAAGCGGAAGTTATTGTTGCTAGAAATTAAGATAATTAAAAAAACAGATTAATAAGGGAAGAAAAACAAAGAATTTTACAAGGAGATAATACTCGTACCACTAAACCATCTACATGTCAATAAGAAAGAGTACAAAAAAACAAAAACAAAAAAACCGAAAAAAAGAGGTTGATATATACAAGTATATGGTAGCACTTCCTTCGGCCTTAGACACCTCAAAAATGTTGCAATCAACTGACGCGTAATTATATGCAATAATGCAAGCAATCCAACCAAGCAAGGCAACATCTTATTGAAATCCTTCTAACAAAGTTACCATCCAAAAAAATCAACCTCAACTAAGTTATTGTTTTCATTTTTAAAAAAAAAACACACACACACAATTTGTATTTTTTTATTTTTATTTATTTGTGTAAGCTTTTCCAAAGGCAAAAATGTAGTCTAGTTGCATGATTTTAATACTAATATTGTTAGTAGTGGATAACAAGATTCTGTGACCTAATTAACAAATACCATGCCAAGCAAAAACTCATGTTTAAGAACAATAAGTATGACTTGGTTATATTTGTCTATATTTTAATTCTACACTAATCTTTCTTTTAATTATTTTTTACACTAAGCAGAAATTGATAGGTATCCCAAATGCATTGATTACGACATGATAATTACACCTACCAATGACATTTCAACAGCTAGCACTACAAAATTTAACTAATATGGTTTATTTACTAATATAATCTCTAAACTTATAGCTAATGTGGCACCCAAAAAAGATATACAAAGCTATCTTATAGCAATGCTTTGTACATGTAGACAACAATAATTATAGCGCTAATTAAGAAAAGTTTATCTTACTTCGAAATATGTGTTCTTATTCTTCTTACGGATTATACTAATTATATGCCGTATTGCACTTTCAAGTTTTAAAGCACACATCCATTAATGTTTCAACTGGATGTCAATTAGATTGCTCGGTCAAATTCTATAGGGGTGTCGAAAATTTGTGATCAAAATCGATTAGTCACTTCATTCACTTGATTAGTACATGGTAACAAATTTAAAAAAGTAAACATGTTGTGAAGGAAAACGATTGATTTTGTATTGGCAAGGTGGATGACTTACTTTTATCAACTAGGATTTGTGATCAACCTTTTGTCATTTTTATGTTGACGAATGAAAATAATACCAGGTGACAAGGTGACAATTTACAATAGCTTAAAGAACTTGACCAACTATATAAAGCTTGTAATTAAGTTTTTATATATAAATAAAACTTGGGCATGACTTTTATTATGGTTCTTTTGAGTTTTTGAATCATAATTTTATGCAATCATGATGTCTCTATTTGTGAGGATTCTTTTGCCCTCTCAAACTTTGTTGCGTATAATTTAGGAATAATATTAAGTTAGGTAAACTTTCTACAAAGTATGTGTTTTTTCTACTAGGATAACTTCTTAAAAAGACACCAACTTACTAGGATAACTTCTTAATATCGAACGGTTTGTAATGTGCTTTAATTTGGTGGATGTCTGTAAAGGAAATCAAGGGTAACCTAGTTGGTTGAAAACCTTCCTTCTACCTCTGTAAGAGAGATTCGATTCTCACCCCAAGCAAGTGAGATCCTTAAATTTCCCTTTATTTGCAAGGAATTCTAAAAAAAATGTAAAGGGATCATGACACGATGCAATACTTCACATATCAGTGAACACGCATTCTCTTGACACGAAACAATTTGCCTATGTGAACAAAGGTCACACCCCTTAGTAATCAAAGGAGGAAGACACACAAGGGGCAAGAAATTTTACTTCCTCAACTCTCTTTTCTTGCCCCTCAATTTTGTCTACTTGTTAACAGCACAAAGTGCCAGCTATAATAAAGACTCAATCAGCCCATATTCTCTAATCTACTGCTTTATATGGAAATACATAACATAGCCTTGGATTTTCTGAAATATACTTGTATATATATAGTCACTCCAAAAAATTTCTGGCCCAAACCCTAGCAAAGTAGGCATTAGATGTTCTTAGGTACACTGTTCACAAATCAGTCTAATCATCATTCATCAATATAATTTCTTTAAAAAATGAAGGGTCAAAATCAAAATAATATTTGGATAGAAAGAAATTGTGGGTCAAGATATTAATACACTTAATGAATCGTCACTATTCTAAATAAATTATTACACTTGTGAAATTGTACCATTTATAGATGTGATTTCACATACAAATTTGTGCTTGACTGGTATGCCAACAACATGTAATCTCAACCGGACCCTTTTATATTTTGTTCTTGGACTTATTTGTTGCATGATATGCAATCTTGCATACACATAACATATTAACATGACACAAAAAGTTTGTAAATACTACGTAAAAAATTATAACATATTTAATTTAGCTAGTTTAGTTGTTAAAGTCGGAGTGATACTTGAAATTTACTACCTTGTTACTTCGTGGAAGAGCTGATAGCTCACCTGCATTCCTGTTTTCATTGAGCTACTGGCTCATTCAGTGATGATGGTGGATATCGGGATAAATCTTTATTCCTTGGTACCTCTTCACTCCTTTGAGATGGTTTGTAAGGGCAACAACTAGTGTAGTTTCTGAATCACAACACATATGCCGAACTCTTTTGCTAAGACGTAATTTTCTGATAGGTTTCAGGCCTTAGGCCTCCTAGGAAAAAAAAATAGTATAAGCAGATATTGGATCTCATATTAATTATAAGCACAATGAGAGTGACAGAAACATTTCATGGAATTGAAGTACTTTTCAACTTTGTTGTCAAATCTATTACATTGATTTACTTTCTAGTACATTCTAATTACAAACTCTGTTCAAGCTCAAGTAGCTGAGATCACATATGAATGATGAACAATCCAACAATCATCGCTAATTCGCTGCCACTTGATGTGAATTATGTACAAGAAAAAAGGTAGTTAATGAGTATTGACTATAATGTCAAGCAAAACGATATTTTACAGCCTACAATAACTGCAAAGACCATCAAATAATCAAGCAAAATTGATACTTCTACAACAATTGCATCGTTTACACGTCTGTGCAATTCTGAAGTCTCTGCTTCATCTGAGAGTCTGTTATTGAGCAGGTCAGACTGGCCTGGCCTGATTTTCTGGATTTGGGATGAACTTTGCATCCCAGTTGCTGAACCATTATTCAGCACGACTTCTTCATCTCAAAATCCAATTTTAAGCAATTTTGTTCATTTGGGCAGAAATTCAAGACCCAAAAAATTTGCTAGAACCCAGAAGTGGAGCAAGTTAACTCCGCCAATGGGTTTCCCTCTGCCAATCCCAAGCCTGAATAACGGAGGAGGGTTTCGGTAGGCCAGTGTCAGCCAGTGTAAAACTTAGTCTCATCCCATGACATCCACATTTGGACCAAATTGTGGTAGCTGCCAGAAACATGCAGCTCTATTTTAAATTGTATATGCTAGCAAGTTACTGTCAATTTGCAACCAAATAACATGAACTATGACAGTCTTGTTTGCCAAGTATTTGGCCATTTACAATGCTGTAAATCTGTAAGTTCATTCGCGCTACCAATAGTCTCCACATGAACAGTTACCATCTTTGAAATGGTGAAACCGGCTATTATCTCTAACGATTATTTCTCTTTTAACAATCTTAGATATGAACTTTATCGCTGTATGGCAATCACTACACACTCGTATATTCTTGGTTATGCAAATCGTTGCTCCCTCTGGAGTACTTATGATGCCATATGCTATTGCTAATCTCTCACTGTGATTATAGAGCAGACTCTTCTTGAGCTCCTCATCAATATCATGGAGCACTTCGCCTGTATCAGGAACATATCCTTCTTTCTCCATCTTCTCTAGTAACTTTTCTAGAGCCTCCTTTATCTTTTCATAACATGGATGAGATTTATCTCCTGCCACGAAAGCATATAATTTGTTCTTCACTTCAATCCAGCTGCAAGCTGCTTCTTTCAATAGCCCTTTATTCCTCATAGTTATTCTCACATTTGCAGCATCTTTCCATCTCTTAGCAGCAGAATACGTGTTTGATAAGAGGACATGAGCCCCAATGTTACTAGGATCAACTCTGAATATTTCTCTTGCAACTTTTTCAGCCATATCGACATTTTTATGCACTCGACAAGCAGAAAGCAACGTGGACCAAATACTGCTGCTAGGAGAAGACATCTTACAAATAAAATCATAAGCTTCTTTTAACCTTCCAGCTCGGCCAAGAAGGTCTGCTACAGCAGCATAGTGCTCCAACTGTGGGGATAGTTTATAATCATGAATCATGCTGTTAAAGTAATTCCAGGCTTCATCTACTAATCCAGCATGACTACAGGCTGTTAAAAGAGCTACAAAAGCAACAGAGTTGGGCTTTACTCCCTCGTTTTCCATTTGCTTGAATAAGGAAATGGCATCGTGAGCATGCCCATGTAAAGCGTATCCCATGATCATTGCTGTCCATGACACAGTGTCATGTAGTTTCATGTTATTGAATATACACCTAGCAAGCTTGATGTACCCGCATTTTGCATACATGTCAACTAACGAACTAGCAATAAGCACATTTTCCTCGAATCCACACCTCATAATGTAACCATGCAACTGCTTACCCAAACGTAAAGTTGTTAGATGAGCACAAGCAGGAATGATGCTCGAAAATGAAACACTCCCAGGCTTAACTTTCGCCATTACCATTTTTCTAAACAATTTTAGACCCTCATCAAATTGTCCATTTTGAACACATCCAGCAATAATAGAGTTCCAAGAAATGCTATCACGAGAAGGTAAAAGCATAAACACCCTGTATGCATTCTCTATTTGATTGCACTTAGAATACATGTCAATCAATCCACTTCCAACGTACAAGTCGACATCGATTCCATTTCTAATAGCATAACCATGAATCTCTTTCCCTCTAACAACATCCACAAGTTCTGCAAACATTGGAAGAACACTTGACAAACTAAAAGTATCCGGCTTAAGGTTCGCCTTTCCCATGTCCCTTAACATAGCTAAAGCGTCTTCAAACATCCCATTTTGTGCATTTCCTGCAATAACTGTATTCCAAGAAACAAGATCCCTAACAGGCATGACATCAAATACTTTCTGCACGCCACTCTTTCGAAAACCCGGTCCCCTACCCTTACTACGACTGTAATTCAAACCAGTACTACCCATTACATCAAAATCAAACTCAACCCCATCAACCACATTGTCCTCAACTTTAGTGCTAGACAAATCATCACAACTCCTGCAATTCAATTTTCTTTGAGGCATTTCATCGAACACATGGAAGGCATTACCGTTGTCCTCGAATTTCTCACTCAAACTCTCCAATTTTGAATACATATTCATCAATGCATTACCAGTATAAATATCAATATCGAGACCAACACGTATAATACAAGCATGAACAGATTCAGCAAGCTTCAAACTTTTCAAAAAAGTGCATGATTTTACAACAGAAGGAAAAACATTATGATCTGGGTGTAACCCAGAAACTCTCATATGATTGAAACAATTCAAAGATTCAATGAAAAACCCAAGAGAAGTATAACATCTAATGATAGATTTCCAAGCAAGAAGAGGGGGAGATTGAAGGGTATGAAAGAGATTGATGGATTCAGGTAAAAAATTGAGGTTAGAGTAGATAGAAAGAAGAGTGGAAATATAATATGGGTTGAATCCTTTGAGTTTGATGATCTGGGCATGAAGTTGTTTTGCTTGGGATTTTGAAGAAATTGAAGATGGGTTTTTGAGAATAGTTTGCATGAGTTTAGAAGATGTCATTTGAGTTGTAAACTGAAATAGTGTTTCTATGATCAATATACATGTACGTAATATTTTGCGTTCTTGCCTTCTTGGTGCATATATGCTCAGACTGCTCGCCTACTTAAAACTTAAAAATAGACCTGTTCAATGGGTTAGGGGCTCATTTAAAGCCCTAGTCCAGCCCTTTTATAAAAGGGTTTTACCCATCCAACATTTAAATGGGGTGGGCTTTTAAAGGACTATTAAATAATGGGTTTTTAAAGGTTTGAGTCTAAGTTAAAAAAAGGCTAAAATTGGGTAACACTTAAGAGGCTTATAATCTTCAAAAATTCCCAGATTATAGCTAATAAATTCCTTCTTCTTGCTCGCCGCTCTTAATCTTCAACTACCAAGGTATGTTTTCGTGTATTAATTTCTAAATTCGTTTGTTTTTATGTCAATTTATGTATTCTTGCTCGCCGCTCTCAAAAATGTACGAATCTATTGATTTTATGCTTGGATTTTAAATTATATAATATTTTTTGAAGTTTGAATGCTAATTGATCATCATCTACTCGATTTTAAAAAACTAAAAAGGAGAAATTTTGAAAATTGATTGGGATTTATGGAGTGTATGAAAGGTGTTTGATAAAATGACGCAATGAAGTTATTTATAGAGAAAGTGGGTGAATTTGTTCTTGAAAAGTCGGTGAATTTGCCCCCTATCATGATCATGAAAGGTGTTGCACTGATTCCATTTCTAATACTATGTCTCTTTCTTATTTTGGTACTCCATCTTTCTCTCTCTTTCTCTCTCCTATTGGAATTGGCTTATTGCCAAAGCTTCCGCCGTTTCCAACTTCATTATATTTACTTAACCCTTTTCAATCTTTCCTTTGTTGTTATTAGCATTTTTGTTGTTTTTTTTTTGTGGGAAATTTCTGGGTTTTATAATGTTGGATTTTGGATGATATTGGGTTTAGGTAAATTACAGAATTGGTTAAGAATATTGAGTTGTTTCTACGATGTGAAAACAACCAAATTCTTTAAAATGGGTTTGTTGGTTGTTTTGGGATTCAGTGATGAATGTTTTGATTTCATGATTTGTCTTCTTCTTAATTTCTTTACTTTGTCGATGGGATTGGGCTATGTACATTTTTAGGCTATTAAATTAGCCATTGATACTTTGTCAGTTTTGTTCTTGGAAAGTGGGTGAATTTTCCCCCTATGATGCAGATGTTTCCAAATGCTAGAGACTGTTTGTCTCAATTATCATTATCTTATTAAACGAATTCCAACTTGATTTAGCCAGACCATTCATTGATTAATCGAATAACATCAAACTTTTACCTACTTTTGCAGTTTTTTTAACCATGGAAAGTGAAGCAACTACAATGTCAATGCCGGTAGATGACGAGGTTGATGAATCTAATGCCGCCCGTAAGCGTAAAAGGAGTAGGAAATCTAAAGTTTGGCAAGAAATGACGGAAGGAACGAATGCAAAAGGTGAGCGAATCGCTATTTGTAAGCATTGTAAAGTGGAGTTAATTGCCCACAATAATAGTGGCACATCTCGTTTAATACGTCATTTGCTTGATGTGTGTAAAAAACGAACTAAGGGACTTCCACTCGGTGAGGCGGTTGAGGATGAGGAAAAATTTGTTTTTGATATGAGTGAATTAATAAAAGAGATTTTATTATATGTTGTTGAAGGTTCTCATTCTTTTTCGACCATAGAAGAAAAAGGTTTTAGGCGGATGATGTTAAAGGCTAATTCTAAATTTAAACCATTTAGTCGAGCAACTTTAACTAGAGACCTTTTTTCTTTGTATGTCTCTTATAGAGAGAAAATTAAAAAAAATTTGAGGAATGCACCCGGACGAATATGTTTGACAACTGATAATTGGAAATCATCACATACTTGGCAACATTACATTTGCATAACTGCCCATTTTATTGATCATGATTGGAAACTTCATAAAAGAATTATTAAGTTCACATCATTGTCACCCCCTTTGATGGATAAAGCATCTCCGAAGAGATTTTTATGTTTCTTAATCAATGGCATTTAGATGACAAAGTGCTTAGCTTAACGGTTGACAATGCAAGTTACAATGATGTGATGGTTAAGCACATGAAAAATCGTCTTGGGTCAAGGGGTATGTTGGTTAGTGGTGGTTGTTTTTTTCATATAAGATGTTGTGTTCATATCATCAATCTTATTGTCCAACCGGTCTATCTTGTATTGAGAACATATTAGATAAGATTAGAAACTTGGTAAAATTTGTTACAAGATCATCTTCTAGAAGCAAGGACTTTTAAGATACCACTCAAAAGCATTTTCATATTGGAAAGGTTCATGATATTAATTAGGCTTTGTACCATTTTCTAATTTTAGGATAGTGCCAATGCAATGAGGCTGAAATTAAACTAGAATGAGCTTTGTGGGAGATGTGTGTGATTTGTGATTCTTTGATTGAACAGATGTACCCCAAACTTTCATTCTGATTGGCAATTAGAAAAAGGTTAATTATGTGCACTTGTTATTTGAAGTGTGCGCATATCTCTAAAAACTCAATAATTAAAATGAATATGCAATAGGAACTACCTGGATATGTACTTGGTTATTTTATTTTACGACTATGATTAGTTATGTTCATGGGCCGGGCCGGGCTTAATGGCCCATGGACAATATTGGCCCATTTTGGATTAGGCTTGGCCTAGTCCGGCCCGACCCATTTTAGATAAAGCCCTGTCCGGCCAGGCCCGACCCGTTGAACAGGTTTACTTAAAAAGCATACTCCAGAGTCCAGACCGAGTAATCCATATTACATTATAACTAGAGATGTCAGAGCTGTCAATTCCGGTAAATGGGTCGGATTTGGATTGGGTAAGAGTGGGTCGGGTCAACTCGGATCGGGTTAATTCGGATTAATTCCATTACCTATGCGGGTCGGGTTTGGGTTGGGTAATGCTTGAGTCGGGTCACGTCGGGTCATACTTCTTATCGGGTTTAGGTCGGGTTAATAACAGGTCGGGTTACATTCGGGTCATGTGAACAATAGGTTGAGTTTAATTCGGGTTTTCATGGGTTAAAACGGGTTAGGGTAATTCTCGGATTTGAGTCGGGCTCGGTTCAAGTCAATAATTTGCGGGTCAGAATCGGGTCGGGTCAGAATCGGGTTTGAGTCGGGTTAGGTTCAAGTCAATAATTTGCGGATTATAATCAGGTTGGGTCATTTTCAAGCTAAGTCGGGTCATTCTCGGGTTCAAGTCGGGTTCGGTTCAAGTCAATAATTTGCGAGTTATAATCAGGTTGGGTCATTTCCATGTGGGATCATTCTCGGATTCAAGTCGGGTTATGTTCAAGTCAATAATTTGCAGGTTACAATCAGGTCAGGTCATTTCCAAGTCAGGTCATATTCGGGTTCAATTAACTATAAAGAGATAATTATCATTTTTATCAAGGTAATTATTTCCTTTGACTATAATATATGTGACAATATACTAGGAAACTATAATCTATAATTTAGGAAGATAATTAACTCCTTTGACCATATAACAAATATATACTATATTTAACTCTTAAATTGGGGAATGATACTCCTTTCTTTTGCAGGCCTGGACCGACTTGGTCTCCCTAGACAAAATGCTTTGATCAACAATAATAAGTTGGTCTAAATTGCATTTCAGCTGATTTGAAATCAAGTCAGGATCAATTTAGGTTGAATTTAGGTCGGGTCAATAACAAGTCGTGTTAATTTCGAGTCGGGTTAGTAACAGATCGGGTTGAATTTTTGGGTCGGGTAAGTAATAGGTTTGGTTAAATTTGGGTCGGGTTAATAACAAGTAGGGTTGAATTTGGGTCATGTCAATAACAAATCAGTTGATATTGGGTTGGGTTTGTAACGATTGGGTTAGATTCGGGTTGAGTTAGGAACGGGCCGGGTTGAATTCAGGTCAGGTTAGTAACAAGTCGTGTTCAATTCATTTTTTGACAGGTTAAAACAAATATGGGTCAATTTTGGTTCAAATCGGGTTCGGTGCAAGTTAATTAAATTGGCCGTTGTAAAACGGTAAATCGGTGTAAGCTGTAAACCGATAAATTGACTGTTTAAAAACAAGTTGGATGGTTCCACACACCCAATTGGACTCACAGAGGGTATTAGGGACCATGGTAAACATTTCGACAAATTTTATTTCCGGACAAAAAAAAGTCAAAAAATTCCAAAATTGAAGGCTAATATCCACGTTTTTTGAAAAATTTTGAAGGTTTCGAGGCCTGGTGTCGAAAAATCTTGAAATTATATGGGATACATCTCAGGGTCATATAATATCGTTTGGAACCATACGTGATCATTATTTGTTGTCATAAATGTTCATGATAGGCTTGAATTAATGAAATCGTTGCAAGTTGTAAACTGGTAAATTGGTCGTTTAAAGGCAAATTAGATGGTTCCACCCACCCAATTGGACTTCCTGAGGGTATTAGGGATCATGGTAAAAATTTCGGCAATTTTTGTTTCCGAGCGAAAAAAAAGTCAAAAAAAATTCCAAAATTGAAGGCTAATATATCCACGTTTTTTAAAAAAAAAATTTGGAGGTTTCAGTGCCCAGTGTTGAAAAGTCTTGATGTATAAGGGGATACATCTCGGGGTCATATAATGCCGTTTGGAACCATATATGATCATTATATGTTGTCATAAATGTTTGTAGTGAACCTGAGTTAATGAAATCCGTGCAAGTTGTAAACCGGTAAATTGGTTATTTAAAGGCAATTTAGATGGTTTCACCAACCCAATTGGACTCCCGGAGGATATTAAGGATCATGGTAAACATTTGGACAATTTTTATTTTTGGGCGAAAAAAGTAAAAAAATTTCAAAATTTAAGACTAATATCCACACTTTTTGAGAAATTTTGGAGGTTTCAGGGTCGGTGTCGAAAAGTCTTGAAATTCTAGGGGATACATCTCAGGGTCATATAATGCCATTTAGAACCATATATGATCATTATTTGTTGTCATAAATGTTCGTGGTAGGCTTGAATAATTAATGAAATCGGTGCAAGTTGTAAATCGGTAAACTGGTCGTTTAAAGGAAATTTCAATGGTTCCATCCACCCAATGGGACTATCGGACAGTATTAGGGATCATGTTAAACATTTCGGCAATTTTTATTTCCTGGCAAAAAAAGTCAAAATTTTCAAAATTGAAGGCCAGGTGTCGAAAAGTCTTGAAATTCTAATGGATACATCTCGGGGTCATATAATTCCGTTTGAAACCATATTTGATCATTATTTGTTGTTATAAATGTTCGTGGTAGGCTTGAATTAATGAAATCGGTGAAAGTTATAAACCGGTAAATTGGTCGTTTAAAGGCAAATTGGATGGTTCCACCCACCCAATTGGACTTCCGGAGGGTAATAGGGACCATTGTAAACATTTCGGCTACTTTTATTTCCGAGCGAAAAAAGACAAAAAATTCCAAAGTTGAAGGCTAATATCCACATTTTTTGAAAGATTTTGGATGTTTCGGAGCCTAGTGTTGAAAAGTCTTGATATTTTAGAGAATACTTTTCGGGGTCATATAATTCCGTTTGGAACCATATATGATCATTATATGTTGTCATAAATGTTCATAGTATGCCTGAGTTAATGAAATCTGTGCAAGTTGTAAACTGGTAAATAGGTTGTTTAAAAGCAAATTGGATAGTTTCACCCACCAATTGGACTCCCGGAGGTTATTAAAGACCATGGTAAACATTTCGGCTATTTTTATTTTCAGGCGAAAAAAATTCAAAAAATTCCAAAATTTAAGACTAATATGCTTTTTGAGAAATTTTGGAGGGTGTCAAAATTTTTTGAAATTTTAGAGGATACATCTCAGGGACATATAATGCCGTTTGGAACCATAAATGATCATTATTTGTTTTCATAAATGTTCGTAGTAGGCTTGAGTTAATGAAATCGGTGCAAGATGTAAATCGGTAAATTGGTCGTTTAAAGGCAAATTCGATGGTTCTACCCACCCAATGGGACTCCCGGATAATATTAGGGATCATGGTAATCATTTCGACGATTTTTTTTTTCGGGCGAAAAAAATACCAAAATTTCCGAAATTGAAGATTTTTGAGAAATTTTGTAGGTTTCGAAACCCGGTGTCGAAAAGTCTTGAAATTCTAGGGGATACATCTCGGGGTCATATAATGCCATTTGGAACCTAATTGATCATTATTTGTTGTCATAAATGTTTGTGGTAGGCTTGAATTAATGAAATAGGTGCAAGTTATAAACGGTATATTGGTCGTTTAAAGGCAAATTGGATGGTTCCACCCACCCAATTGGACTTCCCCAGGGTATTAGGAATCATTGTAAACATTTCGGCAATTTTTATTTCCGAGAGAAAAAAAAGTCAAAAAATTCAAAAATTGAAGACATTATCCACGCTTTTTGAGAAATTTTTGAGGTTTCAGGGTCGGTGTCGAAAAGTCTTGAAATTATAGAGGATACATCTCAGAGTCATATAATGCTGTTTGGAACCATATATGATCATTATTCCTTGTCATAAATGTTCGTGGTAGACTTGAGTAAATGAAATCAATGCAAGTTGTAAACCGGTAATTTGGCCGTTTAAAAGCAAATTCGACGGTTCCACCCACCCAATGGGACTCCCGGACAGTATTAGGGATCATGCTAAACATTTCGGCAGTATTTTTTTCAAGCGACAAAAAGTCCAAAAATTACAAGAAGACTTAATATCCACGCTTTTTAAGAAATTTTGGAGGTTTCGAAGCTAGGTGTCGAAAAGTCTTGAAATTCTAGTGGATAAATCCCGGGGTCATATAATACCGTTTGGACCCATATTTGATCATTATTTGTTGCCATAAATGTTTGTGGTAGGCTTAAGTTAATGAAATCGATGCAAGTTATAAACCGGTAAATTGGTCGTTTAAAGGCAAATTCAATGGTTCCACCCACCTAATGGGGCTCCCGGACAGTATTAGGGATCATGGTAAACATTTCGACAATTTTTTTTTCAGGTGAAAAAAAGTCCAAAAATTCCAAAATTGAAGACTAATATCCACGCTTTTTGAGAAATTTTGGAGGTTTCGAAACCCGGTGTCGAAAAGTCTTGAAATTCTAGGGGATATATCTCGGGGTCATATAATGCCGTTTGGAACCATATTTGATCATTATTTGTTGTCATAAATGTTCGTGGTCGTAGGCTTGAATTAATGAAATAGAAGCAAGTTTTAAACCGGTATATTGGTCGTATAAAGACAAATTGGATGGTTTCACCCACCCAATTGGACTTCCGGAAGCTATTATGGATCATGGTAAACATTTTGGCAATTTTTATTTCCGAGCGAAAAATAGTCAAAAAATTCCAAAATTGAAGGCTAATATCCACGTTTTTTGAATAATTTTGGAGGTTTGGGAGTCCAGTGTTGAAAAGTCTTTATATTTTAAAGGATACATCTTGGGGTCATATAACTCCTTTTGGAACCATATATGATCATTATATGCTGTCATAAATATTCGCAGTATGCCTGAGTTAATGAAATCCGTGCAAGTTGTAAACCGAATAATTGGTCGTTTAAAGGCAAATTGGATGGTTTCACCAACCCAATTGGACTCCCGGAGTGTATTAAGGACAATGGTAAATTTTTCGGCAATTTTTATTTCCGAGCGAAAAAAGTCAAAAAAATACCAAAATTGAAGGCTAATATCCACGTTTTTTGAAAAAAATTTGAGGTTTCAGGGTCGGTGTCGAAAAGTCTTGAAATTCTAGAGGATACATCTCAAGATCATATAATGCCGTTTGGAACCATATATGATCATTATTTGTTGTCATAAATGTTCGTGGTAGGCTTGAGTTAATGAAATCGGTGCAAGTTGTAAACCGGTAATTTGGTCGTTTAAAGGAAAACTTGATAGTTCCACCCACCAAATGGGACTCCCAAACATTTCGACAATTTTTTATTTCCAGGCGAAAAAAATTCAAAATTCTCAAAATTGAAGGCTAATATCCACGCTTTTTGAGAAATTTTGGAAGTCTCGGGGCCTGATATCGAAAAGTCTTGAAATTCTAGGGGATAAATATCGGGGTCATATAATTCCGTTTAGAACCATATTTGATCATTATTTGTTGTCATAAATGTTCGTGGTAGACTTGAATTAATGAAATCGGTGCAAGTTATAAACCGGTAAATTAGTCGTTTAAATGCAAATTGGATGGTTCCACCCACCCAATTGGACTTCCGGAGGGCATTATGGACCATGGTAAACATTTCGGCATTTTTTTTTCCGAGTGAAAAAAAGTAAAAAAAAATTCTGAAATTGAAGGCTAATATCCACGTGTTTTGAAAAATTTTGGAGGTTTCGGAGCCTAGTGTTGAAAAGTCTTGATATTTTAGGTGATACATCTCGGGGTTATATAATTCATTTTATAACCATCTATGATTATTATATGTTGTCATAAATGTTCGTAGTAAACCTGAGTTAATGAAATCCATGCAAGTTGTAAACCAGTAAATTAGTCGTTTAAAGGAAAATTGGATGGTTTCACCAACCCAATTGGACTCCAGGAGGGTATTAGGGACCATGGTAAACATATCGACAATTTTTATTTTTGGGCGAAAAAAGTAAAAAAAAATTCAAAATTTAAGATTAATATCCACGCTTTTTGAGAAATTTTGGAGGTTTCAGGGTTGCTGTCGAAAAGTCTTGAAATTCTAGAGGATACATCTCAGGGTCATATAATGCCGTTTGAAACCATATATGATCATTATTTGTTGTCATAAATGTTCGTGGTAGGCTTGAGTTAATGAAATCGGTGCAAGTTGTAAACCGGTAAATTGGTCGTTTAAAGGCAAACTCGATGGTTTCACCCACCTAATGGGATTCCCGAACAGTATTAGGGATCATGGTAAACATTTCAGCAATTTTTTTCCCTGGCTAAAAAAATTCAAAATTTTCAGAATTGAAGGCTAATATCCACGCTTTTTGAGAAATTTTGGAAGTTTCGGGGCCCGATGTCAAAAAGTCTTGAAATTCCAGGGGATTAATATCAGGGTCATATAATGCCGTTTGGAACCATATTTGATCATTATTTGTTGTCATAAATGTTCGTGTTGGCCTTGAATTAATGAAATCAGTGCAAGTTATAAACCGGTAAATTAGTCGTTTAAATGCAAATTTGATGGTTCAACCCACCCAATGGGACTTCCGGAGGGAATTAGGGATCATGGTAAACATTTCGGCAATTTTTTTTTTCGGGCGAAAAAAGTCCAAAAATTCCAAAATTGAAGACTAATATCCACGTTTTTTGAGAAATTTTGGAGGTTTCGAAGCCCGATGTCGGAAAGTCTTGGAATTTTAGGGCATACATCTCGGGGTCATATATTGCCATTTGGAACCATATTTGATCATTTATTTGTTGTCATAAATGTTCATAGTATGCTTGAGTTGATGAAATCCGTACAAGTTGTAAACCGGTAAATTGGCCGTTTAAAGGCAAATTGGATGGTTCCACCTAGGGATGGCAATGGATCTGGACCCTACCCGAATCCGTGGATCCAGATATGTTTTTCACGGATCTGGGTCTTCAAATTTTGGACCCGACGGATCCGGGTCGAATCCGGGTCCTGTTGACAAAAACGGATCTAGATTTGGGTCTGGGCCCTAGACCCGGATCCAGATCCGTGGACCCGTTTTCTTATTTTTCCTATTAAAAAAAACTAAAATTGTTTGTTTCTTTATTAAAAATGTTGATAATGTTAGTAATGATAAAGATTAACCCTTTCAAGAGATGAATTTTGGATGCTCATATTATATACATCATCGTTGTTGTAGACACCCATTTGTGTCTCCCCAAAACCAAACCCAGTGATGAGTACCTTTCGCGTCGAATCATAATCGAATGAGGTCGGGTTACATTCGGGTCGGGTGAACAATAGGTTGGGTTTAATTCGGATTTTCACGGGTTAGGGTTGTTCTGGGGTTCGAGTCAGGTTCGGTTCAAGTCAATAATTTGCGGGTTAGAATTAGGTCGGGTCATTCTCGGGTTTGAGTCGGGTTCGGTTCAAGTCTATAATTTGCGGGTTATAACCAGGTCGGGTCATTTTCAGGTCGGTTTATTCTTGGGTTCAAGTCGGATTCGGTTCAATGCAATAATTTGCAGGTTATAATTAGGTTAGGTCATTTCCAAGTCTGTCATTCTCGGATTCAAGTCAGGTTATGTTTAAGTCAATAATTTGCAGGTTATAATCAGGTTGTGTCATATTCAGGTTCAACCAACTATAAATAGATAGTTATCATTTTTATCAAGCTAATTATTTCCTTTGACTATAATATATATGGCGATATATACTAGGGAACTATAGTCTATAATTTAGGAAGATAATTATCTTTTTTGACCATATAACAAATATATACTATATTTAACTCTTAATTTGAGGATGATGCTCCTTTCTTTTGCTGCCTGGACCGACTTGGTCTCCTTAGACAAAATGTTTTGATCAACTATAATAAGGTGGTCTAAATTACATTTAAGGTGATTTGAAATCGGACGAGGAGCAATTTGGGTTGAATTTAGGTCGAGTCAATAACAAGCCGTGTTGATTTCGAGTCGGGTTAGTAAATGATCGGGTTGAATTTTTGGGTCGGGTTAGTAATAGATCTGGTAAAATTCGGGTCGGGTCAATAAAAAGCCGGATTGAATTTGGGTCAGGTCAATAACAAGTCGGGTTGATTTCGGGTCAGGTTTGTAACATCTTGGGTTAAATTCGGGTCGGGTTAGGAACGGGTCGGGTTGAATTCAGGTCAGGTTAGTAACAAGTCGGGTTAAAACGGGTTTGGGTCTATTTCAGTTCAAGTTGGGTTTGGTTCATGTCAATAATTTACGGGTTACATTCAGGTCGGGTCATCTCCAGATCAGTTCATATTCGGGTTCGGGTCTCACATACTCGGGTCAACTCGGGTCTAGGGTTGGGTGTGGGTCACGATTTTTTCGGGTTCAGATGGGTCGGTTAATAATCGGGTTTGAGTCGGTATTTCGGGTCGGGTCAACTTTTGACAGCTCTAGATGTCAGTAGGGCGGGTCAAGTAGGAGACCCGCCTCATCTCCGCTCCAATGGGGGCGAGGATGGGTCTCGGTTTGGTAGGTGGTGGGGCAAGAATGGGGATACAAATCATACCCGCCATGGATGATGGAGCTGGAGTGGATTTTAAGTTGTAGCCATCTCGCCCCACTTCATATTGGTCCCATCTCCACCTCATACTACTTTGTACTATACTTATATTATAAACAAAAACGTGTGTAACATTACGAATGTTTTTTTTTTAATCAATATTATTTATGTAGGATTGTGTATTTGAGAAGCGGAGATTAGGTGGGAATTAGGCGGGTCTTTGGTGGGGATCAGGTGGGCCTAGTTTTGGAGTTGTACTCGTCGGGGCGGAGATGGAGATGAATTTCAAACACGCCGCGGGGATGGGGATGAAAATGTTTGGTGGGGATGGGGAAGGGAAAACAAACATACGCCCCGCCCCATTAACTTCCCTCATGTAGACCTTACTCATGATCCATTTTGTAAGATAAACCTCAGGCCTTACATCCTCACAAGTTACAAGCTACCGCCATGAATTGCTCATGATCCATTTTGTAAGATAAACCTTAGGCCTTACATCCTCACAAGTTACAAGCTACCGCCATGTATTGTACTCGTACGAGGATGGAACTTTCGATTTCGCGATGCTTAAATTTAGTTGAACTGTAACTTCAACTTTGTTTGAACTCTATAAAGTATGTACCAAAAACAAAAACCTAAAATCCAACTCTTTCACAACACTATCCTTTGTGGTCCTGAAAAAATAACACAACCACATCCAAATAAAAAAGTGCAAATGGACATTTGCAAATCTGCAATATCGTCACATTTTGTGGTTTAATAAAAAGGAGAGGGGTATTACACACATTCAAACTTCTTTGCTTCAAAGTCAATTTTCATTAATCTAAACAATCATTACCTGTTTATAGAGACAGACAAATAAACAAACACATCCACCAAGTTGCTATTACATCATAATTTTTTAGTACAGGATTCAGATGAGAGAAGGAATTCCTTTTAACAATTTTATCCTCCAAAAGTCTCAATGGAAACACACAATGCTTGTTGAACCAAACATCAGAACTTATGGTAGTACGGTATAGCATCATCTCTCAATCATCTTCTCTTTCAGGAGGAAGGCCACAAGGTAGCAGCATTTTCTGCAAGACATATAACAGTCCATAAGTGAGAATGGCAAGAATGAGTAAGCATTTTCTCCAAGAAATATAACAGTTCCATAAGTGAGAATGGCAAGAATGAGTAATTCAGTACTATAGAAGTAACTCGCAAAGATATTAGTTCAAATAAGTTGTAATGCATGCCAAAACTTGGCATGTTAAAATAAAAAGCCACTGACAAATCCAAATCAAACTCAATAGCTCAGGGACCAACTGAACCAACTGTTTAGTTGTGTTTGCAATCTAAAATACGCACACCAACGTTATCCATTTATCCCTCCAAATGCAACATTTAAATGTACATATATAGATTCAGTTTGATAATATTCCTGTTCTGTGTTTAAATTACAACTCTTAACTTGCATCAAACATCGGTTTCCTCTTAAGACCAATCCGGCACTAACAAAATTTACATGGACAATAACAAGACAACAAACATGAAGGATAGCATGAACAAACCTGCATGAAGTTGTAACGTTCTCTTCCAATAGACTCATTTTCTGCAACAGCAAAGTATGCAAGCATTGGGTAATGCCCAACATAGGAAGCATAGCTATCACGTTGGATGTTAACAGCCCATTCACTGTTCATTTAAATAAGAACAAATTAACCAATAAATCGATATGTTATAAAGACATCCAAAGTTTATATGGAAGAAAATTTACAATCTGGTCAAATCTGCATGCCCAGTCCCAACATATTTAGCTTGGAGGTGCTCAAGCTGGGAATTGATGTTAAATCTATCACTGGCCTACATACACAGCAAAAAAGAAATCAGCAGGTTGAATCAAAGAAAGCAGAGGAAACAGAACCAAAGAAAGCAGAGGACACAGATACACATAGACCTAAAATCCAATACAAAGAAGTCTACATTACACCTATATTAGCTATGAAGCCGAGGGCTTGCACTCATTGAAAAAGAAAAAGAAGGAATCCAAAATAAAATTAAACTAGGTGATGCAAGTAATAATGCTAATGGAACAGAATTCAGTAGCATGAGCGCATTCTGCAATTGTGGTCAATATATCAGAGGCCAAGTCAACTGGAGCACTCAAACATGATAAATTAAAATAGCCCCAACTTTAATACTTCTATCGTCTAGAAAAGATTGCTCCTTAAACAGCATTATTACATTGCCTTATGACCATCCTTCCTTGCTATTTGGAGATGCTTACAATTGTGAGTATGAAGGGGAACTTTGATGTGAATCTATTGTTAGGGATGACAGTTTTACATCTTACATGGGAGGCAGCAGGCCCTTATGACAAGACTATTATGGGGTAGATTTTGAATGAGCTGGAACTTGCAATTCTAAAACACTCATGGTGCTAGTTTGATTTTCTGGCATTTACAAAAATCAAAATATCCGGACTATATTGCTCATGGTTATATTTAGGAAAAGAGAGGCAATAGAATCCCTACGCTTTGCGACTTTAACGCAGATTTGGATATTACTTTTAAGGGAACTATAGATGACATCATTGCATCTAATGCCATGGTAGTTGCCTTCTTCGTCTCTTAAAGGTGGTCGAGGGAATGAAGGGCAAAATTTTAAATGCTAGTAAATTATAAATGGCCTAATAAGTAAGGTGATGGGCAACTATGAGGTGATAGAAGGCCGCACCGCTGCTTAGGGGTTCTCCTTTGTCAACCGGCCATTGAAGAAGCAACACGGCCAACCATTAAAGGGTGTAGTGGCTAGTCTTTAAACAGCAACTTTAATCAGCCATAACACCCATCGAAGTAGCAATAAGAGGAAGCTAAAATCAAGGGATCCCAATAGCCATATAATCCCAAATTCCCAAAAGTCGAAAGAATAAATAATTGCAACTTTGGTTGTTTTTAATACAAGAACTTCCAACAGGCTCTGACTATATGGCTTGCAATCTTGAGATAGCACCTAATTTTAGCATTAAACAAAAGGGTGTTCATCCTTTTCGATTCTCAACAATTAGGGTCAATATGTAAAAGCCTGGAATTGATTAATATGATTAGGGTTCTAAATACAGTACTTGAGAAATCAAAATAGATGCTCTGACTATATGAAATCATAGAATTAAAGCTTATATTACTTGTAATTAACAAGAAACAAAATGTTTCATAGAAGTAGTTCTTTCAAATCCCAAATTCTGCCACCCAATTTCTCAATAGAATACTTTGTTTGATTGAACAGAATAAACCCTAAAAAACCCTACAACAAAATTAAAATTTGGGGAAGTTCGAGTACAATTCTTAATTAAATAACAGAGATAGAAATTAACAAAAGTGGAGAAATATTAATGTTATTGGGAATTTAGGGTTAGTATCTGCAAGAAATAAAGAGTGTAAAGTAAAAAAGAAAGGTACCTGCATATTCACGAATTTGTTGTTGAGAATTTGGAAGATGACCAAACCACTCAAATTAATCTTTCTACGTATTTATACGCGAATGCGATAGTTGTCGACTCAAGAAACCGACATTTGTATGTGCTATTTCTCTATTTCAAGGTTTTTTTTTTTTTTTTTTAATTTATTTATTTATTTATTTATTTTTTTATGAAGTAGTAAGCGTCTGTTGTGATTTACTGAATTGAACTAATTGGAGATAAACTGAATTGAGTTGAGCTGAACTGATTGGAGATAAACTGAACTGAATTGAATATTTTAGGAAATTAGGAAATTCCATGTTTTTTTAGGCTTTATTTGGTTCAATATTAGTAAAGGAAAAGAAGAGAAAGGATGGGAAGGGAAAAGAAAGGAAAAGAAGGAAAAGAAAGGTGATTTTATTTTCCAATATTTGGTTGATGAAAGGAAATGAAGGGAAGAGAAAGGAAATTACTTTTATTTTTCTCTTTCCAGTCAAATTCCTCCAATTTTGGGAGGAAAGGAAAGCCAAAATTTTGTTAAGAGACTTTCCTCTTACTTCCCTTCCTTTCCTTTAGATTTTTATGTCATTTATTCAACCAAACATAGGAATATGATTAAAACAATTTCCTTTCTTTTTTTTTTTCCATCCAAATCCCTTCAACCAAAAAGGGTCTTAGTAATTTTGATGGTGATTTTAGAAATTTTTGAAAATCATGGTATATTATAAGTGGTACAGTACGTAGGAACATTTTTCAAATCATGTTCCTTGTATTATACACTAAAAAAGTGTTGACTAATTTGGTAAGTTTCTTACCTTATATCCTACAGATTTAAGGTTTGAATCCTATCAATTAAGAGTGTTTGGAGCAAGGATTTTCTTACCTTCCCCTCTACTCTCAAGTATTTAACCTGCTAGTACAAGTCTCAAAAGAAATGTGAGAGTTGAGATCTAACCAAGGTCTTCTTTATTTACTTTTAAAAAATGTTGGTATTTTAGTATAAATTGTTCAATGCACTACATATATTCAAAGTAATTGGCAAGCTTTTCACTTTTTACACTTTATTTTTTTACTATGAATAAAATAACAAGCCAACTTCTTATGATATACTTCACTTTTCAGCTAGCCAAGATGAATTATCTTGAACTACAGTACTTGCTCTGTTAACAAGACCTTGCTAATATTTGACTTTCTGAATGATTTACGCAAGAAAGCACTTCCTACAAAATGGACAGTGTAAATCATCATCCAAACTAATTGTGTCTATAACATTTGTGCAATGTGCATAAATAATAAACCAAGTTCAAGCACAAGGAGGGGAAACAGGCTTTACAAACGTAGACTTTTGCACAACGACATAATGTTAATGTGGTCAATCAATTTAAAAAATAATTACAATTTGTTCTTTTTGGAGGAGATGGCTACTATGCTGTAACTATCATTTTTTGAGAACACAGCAAAAACAATCGACTGAATATAAACATATACACTTTGGGCTATTAATTTACAAGAGATTGACATCAAATTCAAGGTCCAAATAATCACTCTATATTCGGGCCTTTGCCCTGAACCCTTCCCAAAGCGTCTCTTTTCTATGCATCCACAGAGCCAATGTGCAGCAGTCAATGAACCAAAACTGTCCGCTTCAAAATCAACACTAAGAAAACCTATTTGATCATATCTGATATCAAGAGAAGTTAGCAAGATTTACAAGGAGTCGCCCTGTTTCTCAGGAACTTCAGGGTGAGGCGGCAAAAGATTGAGGAAACTCCCTTGAGCAGGCTGCTTTGACGAGGTCTGTGAATCATCATCTGTGAGGGAAACAGACAGAGACAGACTGACAGTCAATAACAATGGAACAAACCCCATTAAATGATGCAAATTATATTTAATAAAATAACACAAAAAACTAAATGTTTAATGCTGAATTTTAGCAAGTAATACCAAACCATATTTTTATGAATAAGGGAGAAAGATGGGTTTTGTGTGCATAACAAAAGCATACCTTGAATACATAAAAATGTAAAAGCAAAGAAATGAAGAAAAAAGAGGGTAGAGGGGTAACAAACACATACCAAAAAGAGATTTGATCGTTGGCCTCTTGGGTTTAGTACTCTTTTTCTTTATTTCAGCTGCAAGGAGGACAGATAAAATAAGGCAACTCTATCAATAAATAAATTTTAGGGTAAATAATACGGGGTACTCTCTACCAGACAGGTCTGTCAAGCTAATGTATATGCATGCAGCAAAAAAACAGAGGCAAGAAAGTAGCAAGAGGCAAATTCCTATGGTAGCAAATTATATACAGTGAAAGAAATACAATTGAGACGAGAGAGCTTACATATTCCAGGTACTTCATGATCATTGACGATTTCAAAATTTTTGTATGTATATCCAACAAAGTTGACATCCTTTGATGAGAGCATCTGCAGTGCCAATAACACCAAAATGTAAGACAACAAGAGCACTAGAAATTCTACATAAACATGCATGCAGGGTAAGGAAAAAACTAAAGAGAAAATACCATAATAATACAAATTCAACACATGACATAGATACTCCGCCATAGATCAGAAAAATTAATGCTTGACAATCAGCAGTGCATTTTATATTGCAACAAAAGTTCGGGTATGGCCAACAAACCCACACACATAAAGCACATTTAAGAATCAGGAAGACGGGGACATGTAAACTACCATACAACCAACACAGGCATACCTATAGCTAATCCAATCATTGTGCTCATGAAAGACAACACATCAATAATACCTTAATTGTTAGTACTATACTTCACATACAGACAATATTAATTGATTCTGCCCAGATTTTAATGGCTCCTGCAGTCTTGCTCTACAACTATACATGAAAGCACTTTTTGAATATTTATATAAGGGTACAAGGAAACTCTTGCCAGAACCACAACAGATTATGCCATTGCCTCAGAAGGGGGCTAAGTATGAATCTAAAACAAATCTCAATATGAACATATAACAGCCAGAATTTAACACACTGACAACAGTCAGCAACCCTCTTATCATCCAAACAAGAACCAAAGGGCTCATTTGTTAAAGGGAAGCAGCTGTACCAAGAATTCCAAAACTATAAATTGTGCAACTTCACACTGACCTTTCTCCATGGACCAGACTTCGAGTTAGCAGGATGAGCTTGCTTGTCCGTCTGAAATTCCATACACAAATGATGAGTAAAGAATGAAGGATTGGGAAGAATCAGACATTTCACTGTTCAAAATTTTGGTGTGAAAGATAGCTAGAGTTTGAAAAAACAAACCTCTTCAAATTTTTCAAAGTTTTGTGTATCCAGTTCATCATTTACTTCAGGAAGAAATGCAGCTTCTATTTGATATAATTTGTCCCAATCGACACCCTTAAACCATGGATGTGCCTGATAACCATTGAAAAACAGGCAAGTCAACAATTTTGAATTCACTATCTGCTATAATGCAGTGTTTAGCTAGGAACCAGTAGTCACCTTTATTTCATCTGCACCTTTGGTTCCAAGCCGTTGCTCAACATTGCAAAGGAGTTTACATATAAGATCTTTTGCTTCCCGGGACAGCCTAGCTTCTTCCGGAAATTTTAGATGATGTCTCCAATTAACAATCTGAATATAGAGAAAAAGACAATCGTAAAAAGCTCAGCTTTTCGAATTCTAATCCTGTCTACAATGAACTATTGTACGATCACAATGTTCTGTCTCATTGTATGTAAGATTAAGCCTTATAGAAAAGCATCATCTTGCTGATAAGCTGCAGCACTGTTGCCTGCCTTTCCATTAAAGAATTGACATACTTGATGGACAGACAGGAAGAAAGGGGTGGATTTTTTAACTCTCATCTTCTAAGTAACCAAAAAAAGAAAAAATAGTCTTTATACACAATGGGAAACCCTCTCCTGAAGGTGGTAGAAAGGTGAAGATACAAAAACTTGGGGAAAACTAAGAAAATCAAGTTCACATGGGGTGTTCTAAACTTCTAACAGTTTATGCTACAGTAAAAAATGCTTAATGAAATCCATTGTAAGAGCAAACTTTAAGATAAAATTAGAAGTAACAATATCTTAACTTGATACAAACGAAAATTAAAGCAAACATAAGACAGTAACAGTCCAATGACTTATGTTACTGAGTAATGGTGTACAAACAAGATAGAAACTAAAAGGTTGAAGCTTACCTTCCTACAAGTCGACATAGGATCATCTGAATAAAAAGGTGGATATCCAACGAGCATTTCATACATGATAGCACCCAAAGACCACCTGCCCATGTACAGAATAAGCTATTGAACATACATTATGCAAAAAGAAAGCAAAATGTGCAAGATGTTTTAATGCTAACCAATCACATTCCATGCCATATCCTTTCTTCAACAGCACTTCCGGGGCAATGTAATCTGGTGTGCCAACTGTTGAATAAGCCTACAACATGCAAACTTTAATAGTTAAAATTCAATTACTCATGTTGCAGTAGATATCCAATATGTACTAACATATTGCATCAAGAAAGATCACAGTCATCACACTAAACTTCCCAAAATGCTTGCTCATAAAAGGGAAAAAAACTAAGCTCATAATAAGTCATGATCGTAAAGAAAATTCTTATGTGCCCCTAAACTGAACCATTTAACAGCCTCCTACAAGGATCACAATTCAATCGCAAACAAACCTCACAGTTTATTAAGCATTCTTATATCTAGTAAACTATAAAGAGAAAGGACAATAATATTTACAAGCATTCTCCTGTTCTTCTGCCAGTGTAGTAACTGCTCCTGCTGTGATCGTTTTGGAGCTACAGGCCGTCCATCACTCTGAAGAGCTCCACTTAAGTTACTTCCCACAGAAAAATCCTTCTCTTGAAGACCTCGGCAATCAAGTGGTTTACATAATCCAAAGTCCGAAAGTTTCATGTGACCGTATTTATCAAGTAGTAAATTATCAGGTTTGATGTCTCTGCAACAAGACATTTAAAGAATTATTCCTCTTCACTACATTAATATATCTGACAAGCTAAAGAATGCAGTCCCACAAACAAACATGCATACCTATGTATGTAATTATGCTTATGAATGGATTCAATGGCAAGGACAGTTTCAGCAACATAAAACCTAGCCTCATCTTCAGTTAGTGTATCCTTACGCATGAGTAAAGTCATCATATCCCCACCAGGAAGATATTCCATGATGAGGTAAAGATACTCATCATCTTGAAAGGAGCAATAAAGCTTTACAATGCAATTACTGTCAACTTCTGCAAGTAAGTTTCTTTCGGCTTTTACATGTTCCACCTGTACCAATTGGAACAAGAGCTTAGCATCATGACTAGCCATCAAATCTGGTAATATAAAAGACAATTCAAACAAAACACATACCTGTCCTCTCCTGAGCATCTCAGATTTCTTCAATTTCTTCATAGCGTAAACATGGCCAGTCGATTTTTCTCGGCAAATTCTCACCTGGAATGACGAGAAAATATGTGATGAATACTCAATGGCTACATCAGTAACATCATTATAAGTGAGACTATGGAGCACAAAGTATAAGCCATACAAAAGTTTAAGAAGTGTTGTATAAAGATACTGATAGTTTCAAATAGGTTTCATCTTCAAGTTAAAGAGCTTGGAGTGCCACTGGTAAAGAGGTTCAAGAGCAGATCAAAGAGACAATAGTCAATAGTATTTTATTTCAGTAAAACTAGCACCACATAGACTTGACAAACAGTCAAACACAAACAATGTCTGAGGCTCTAACTCCATCCTATATGCACACCAAAATAGCGTAAAATTGAGAAAATCATTCTTCACCATTATGATGACCATGTCAGGGTCTCAGATACAGGGCTTGTTTTCTTCAACTTAATTTCTATACCAAACTATTTTGTGGTCTTTTTGAAATCAAATTTTAATAACTGCCTTGAACTCATCATGAATATTATTTAAATATTTTCATTAATCATGTATAATAGTTACAGAGAAGAAGAAATCAAAAAGGTAGGCTAGGGCGTAATATGTGAATACTCCAACTGTTTCACAATTTGATGAACATTGCTATTTATCTACATTCTGAAACACCTCCTTAATGAAAAGTGGTTACCTTGAGTATTTCATTTTAGTCAATCACTCAAAGCTTTTATCCCATACGTGGGTCGGCTACATGAACCAAATTTGATTATTCCGTGTGGTAATCCACAAAAAGAGTATTTCATTTTAGTAAATGAAGAAAAGTCAATAACAAAGAACAGACTAATATAGGAGATCAAATCCCTGGTTATCTACATAATTTGAAAGAGAATTTCAAATTATATACATCAGATGATAACGACAACAATACATCTGTTAGAGAAACATGATATAATAGGAGAGCCAAAACTAAACTGAAGAAACCACCAAGCCCTAGTCAGGCAAATCAACAAATGCAAGGGAAATATGCATATTGCACTCCCCCCAAAATGGAAACAGATTAAGGGGGGAAAAAAGAAAGAAAGAAAAAAGAAACCTCAACATACTCTATTATCTAAAATTATAACCCATAAAGCTTTCTGGCACAGGCACAATTCAGCAAATGTCTAGATAATCAATAAGACCGAAACACTTCATGTAAGGCATTAATAGCTTGTAGGAAAAGCTGGAAACATGGACCTAAAAACGAAAACCAAATTTACCTCACCAAATGCACCCTTTCCTATCATTGTCAATGGTTCAAAGTCATCTGCTCCCATTTTATGCCTCTGCAGTCGCATAAACTCTCTTTCCTTTTTCTCTAGAAAATGAAGTATATTACTCTTCTCATCCTTTGGAACGTCAGCATCAGCCAACTTCTTCTCCAATATATCACGCCTGCATGAAGAAAAGACATGCAGCTCCATTATAATGATCTCCACTATAATGATATCCAAAAAAAGGTGACAAATAAAAGATAACAGCTAAGAAACAAAAAGGTCAGCCTAGCGGCATAGAACATAACTCTCCCAGATAGCAAAGCTACAGAAAATATATGTATATAACTGTTTAACTTCATTATTCAAGCTTAAAATATGGTGAGGAGCAATATCAAAACGAAAAATATCTTTTAGTCAACTTCTCTGAAACTAAGGCATCCAGTAGGTTCATTTGCCTCTACCTTTGTAGAAGTTACTGCTGGGGTTGCAGCAGCAACAAGAATAAAGCATGATCTGAAGCAAAAAAGATAAAAGGAATTGAACAAGGATTCATCCCTCTATATTTCATCAACTATTCAATGATGCACAATCTAATTACATAAGAAAAAACCATATGACATCAGTAATCATACAGAACCATTGAAACATGACATCAAAGGGTAACTCTAGTCTTATACAAAGAATGAGGAGTTGCTGTAACATGGATTATGTTAATCCATCTTGGAAAAAAAAAAATCACTTTCGTCTAGATGACTTACACTCAGAGAATGCACCCATCAAATATGCTCTCAGAAGAGAGCATTCTTTTATAATTCTGCTAGGACAAAAATGGCAGAGGGAAAGGGAGTGGAGAAAAGAAGAGGAAAAAAATACATTGACAATTTCCTTCCAAATTTCTCCGACATTGGGAGCATTTAGTTATTTAGAGAAGAAAAGATTCCTCCATTCCCTTCCCTTTTTCAATTCAATATCCAAATAAAGAAGGATGATCCCTCACTTTTCTTTCCCTTCACCCTCGTCCAAACACACTTTATATAATCTTAGGGTCAATTTATCATACAAACCTTGCTATTGCATGTGAAACATAACTTTCCAGATAAGTAAATAATCTAATTCGAGATATCGAACCATAAACATCGGCCAAAACGAGGTCAAGAATTTAGGGCTTTAAATGCAAGAATGCACAAGCAGAGATATTTCTTAGAAAATAAAACACCTAGTCATGAATGAGACTACAATAAGAGAGCACACCCATTACGGATGATGGTTGACCTATCAGCTAACCTAGTACAAGGATAATAGCTATGCGCAGATGCCCAGTGTACATCATAACTTTGAATCACTGTCCTTAATCAATAAATTAACAATGAATCAATGATCCTTGCTAAACACTTGGCCACTTGGGTCAATACCTGAGTCTCATACAGTCACACTTGTATCAGAGAGGATCTTAACGATAGACAGCGTACCTGGTCCACTATTTAGGACCCAGAAAGCTACATCAATTGCTAAAATCCAAATACAAGACCCAAATTTTGCATTGTGTCAAAAGAAGTAAGCCCGTATACATGCACATCTTGAGCTTGAGTCAAGCCCAGTTTTTTATTGTACACCTTTAATTTGTGTCAAGCTTGGGCTTTCGAACTCTGGACAATTACGGATGAGTTAAGCTCTGGTCTAAGCTACTTCAAGTCAAGTCAAGCAAATTCAATTCAAGCTCAACATAGGTTGTTACTCCCTCCATCCCTAAAAAGTATGCAGCAAGTACAATTTGCATGCTTACGATATTTGGTTGTGGAGATTAAGGAAAAAAAAAAAAAAAGTGGGACCACATGTCAATGAAACGATGAGAAATTAAAGTAATGGATCACTTAATCATAAATGGAGTGGAGCCTTTATTAAGGGACATCCCAAAAAGAAAATGGTGCATCCTTTTAGGGACAAGGGAGTATTACCATGATTACCCTGATACGAAAATTGAAAATACCCACATTTAATCAACTAATGTGTCGCATTAAATCATAGTCAGTTCTCTTTGCACAAGCAAATGTCATTCTAAACTAAGCCAACCCGTTTATCTCATACATAATGACTTTAGCATGCATGTAAGATTAATCCTTACCTTATAAGTCTAATCACTACATAAGGCCATAAATTAGACGTCATATAGGAGCATGTTCAGCAAGAGTTTTTCAAGTGGAGTTTAGCTTTTTGACTCAGTCAAAGCAATACTGATTTTGGAGTAGTGTTCAGGTAGGTAGCCTGTTAGGGTAACGGTGAGAGAGTGAAGCAGATTTTCGCAAAAGCCGAGTTATATATAATTTCACCCAAAAGATACTTATACTCCCAATAGCTACTTTGTACCAACACTTGCTTTAACAGATCCGTTGACGGCTAACGTCTAACAACTCTAGCCTATAATTGCTAACAGCTAGTAATTAACCCATGACTACAGCAGCTAGTTTTGTTAAACAACCGCTAAATGTTGGTAGATTACAGCTACAACAACTGTAGTACTCACTCTAGATCAATGCACTAATCAAAAACAGTTATCCAGCACTATAAATCAGTAAAACAGCCTTGTAATACCTGAATAATCAGTCCAACTATGCATACTACATTTCCTTCTAAGCAAACTTGTACCTTTTTTACCAAAAATGATCACCAATAAGTTCAATGATTCTAAGTTTTTGTTATTCTAACAATCCTCAAAGCAATTAAGATTGTAGATTCTTCTGTTTTCAATTAGAACCTGTACAGCAGCAGCATGATCCATAAACAGCAAAGCAATTTACTTTTAAGGGAAAAAACTAAAACAACAAAACGCTTACCGCTCCTTCCTTTGCTGCAAATTCTTCATCTGATCCTGATAATGCTTCTCGATATATTGTTTAGCAGCTGCAACTTTCTGCTTGGTAGCGGTGGAGGGTGCGTCCTCACTAACCGGAGCCTTCATCCCTTCTTTCCCTTTGACAACTGTAACAGCAGCCTCCTTCTTCACCCCTCTTCCTTTATCTTTCACTTTGAACCCAGTAAAACACCTCCTCGCCGCTTCCATCCCCTCTTTCTAATTCTCTAATCTACCACCTAAAATTAAACCTAAACACTCAAATCCCACAAAAGTAGAACAGCAAACTAAAACTCCCTAATAACAAAGAATCACCAATAACTATCTTCTTCCTTCCAGGTCACTTGTCAACTGAGCACTTGCTGAACTACCCTAAACAAAGCAATTTGAACATTAGTAAACTAGTCCATCAAATTTCAGAAAATTAAAAGAAATTTTTTTAAAAAAAATCATGATTTTTTTTAATCTAGCATCCTATTTATTTTCTGCTACCAATTTAAGATTCAACTAGTTCTAAATATGGAAATTCAACAAAAGCCCTATTGCATCAAAATTAATAAAAATAAAGATGACAAATGTTGATAAATCATTTCATCACTAAAATTCATACAGAAGTTACACATTTAATCATCTCAAACAGCAAAAAAAACACCAAAATTCAATTGGAATTCTTTTTTTAAAAAGAGAGGAATTACCAAACAGTTGCAGCTAAAAATAATTTTAAAAAAATAACTAACAATCAAAAAATAAAAAGACATAGAATTACATCGAGATCAGCAGCAACAAAAGCAAAAAAGGGGAAAAACCCTAAAATTAAGGCGATAGACATTGAATTGTGCAATAAAGCAAAAAAAAGTGATACATAAACAATAACACAGATTAAATGAAATACCTATAAAGAAAGAAAGCGGCCACAAAAAGTGAAGAATTGAAACCCTAAAAACCCAGAAAAATTGGGGAAAATTTTACAGAAATAGAAATTGAAGAAGAACAAGTGAAGATGTGAAGAAGAAGATACATCGACGACCAGTTTGGGTGTGGGTTTGCATGATCCCTCATTTTCTCTCTCCTCTAATTTTTTTTTTTTAATTTTTATTTGGTGTACTTTAATTTATTAATTATAACTAATATAAATTTTAAAAAATAAAAATGAAAAAAACAGGTAAAAAAATAAATAAAAATAAAGAGGATTGGTTGTGAATGTGGGTGGAAAAAATAATTTGTTGCTGAAGAAAAAAAGGCAGAAAAAGCTCTGCTTTTTATGTAAAAAGAAAAATAATGGGATTTACTACTAGTTCTAGTACTACTGCTACTTCAACATTCCTGGAATTTGGAGAGAGAATTTGGAAGATCTTTAGCTCAGAGATCCACTGTTTTTTTGGGTACAAATATACATCTTGTTTTGGTATGGAGTATAGTACGGAATACGGGTCTGTTCTCATTGACTGAATTCAACTAAACTGAATTGAACTGAATATTTTACAAGAGAAGGAAATTAGGAGTTGAACTAAACTGAACTGAAATGAACTGAATTTCAACGTATGAGAACAGGCCCTACGATGTGTCGATGTAGATTATACGGAGTGATTACAACCGGGGAATTCTGTATTGGTCAACCTTTTGAATGTCTGTTGAGTTTTTTAGTCGATGAGGGATGGATCGATGAATTGATAATCACGAGAGGTGGAATTTATTGGTTTGTGAGTTGGTTAAACTATTGCGATCGAGAGCGTGATTTTGAGTTGAGTTTTTAATGCGTTTTAGGCAATTAATTTCTTGAATTTAAATAAAATGAGTTATAGTTTTAATCTTGATGTATTAGACGTTGTATTGACATTATAATGATGATCTTTTAGGTTTTGGTAAGTCAACTACTAAATTATTAGTCCCTCTTAGTTATGGCGTAACTAATTAAGATCATTTATTCCATTTATGGATCACATGTAGTGAGGCTAAACTTACTATCTCCTTATCACTTAACTGAACGATAGACAATTTCACAAACTCCGGTGATTTTAGATAATATGACATTATTTATGCCAAATATCCCAAAATAGTAAATGGAAAACTAAGCCTAGTAAAGTAAATATATCTTTATCAACTTCCTCGTCATAAATCTGTCATCTAATTTCATTATGATATTAGATGAGTGTATTCATGGTGTCTTTATTAAATTGTACCGATTGTATGATTTGTATTACAAGTGATTAATGAAACTAGTTAATGGCATTTTAGAATAGTAAAGTTCATTTCCTCTATTATCCTCTCTATCCTAATTTATTTACCATAAATGTCTGATTTATATGTCTTCTCAACTTTTAGAAATAAAGTAGAGTAAAAGAAATTATATTTAGCAAAATGGATAAGTTTTTTTCCAATAAATATAAGCTAAACTTAGCAAAAAGAAAACCGCAAAAACAAATTATTATGCTACATAAACCACTTTTTTTCTTTTAAAACTTTTTGTTACATTACTGTGTAAGCAACATCTTATTTCATATGTGCATCAGAGGTTCAAATTAGCTTATCCACCTTATTAAAAATATCGCATTTCTTACACCAATTTATGCATATATATACTTGGCTACGTGCATATAGGATGGTCAATACCCGTATATAGGGCTTATAATTAAGAGCAACACACATGACAAATGTATGTACATTAGTACATACCCTCTTTATGCCGTTATGCTTGGCGTCGAAGTGAAAGAAAGTAGTAGCATCAAACATGCCGCAACAAAGGTGGTACACCATCTTTAGTGAAAAGACCTTTGTTTTAGATATTTGTACATGTGATTTACTATTTAGGTAAACTTGTCTTTCAAATAATTACATTATTAATAGTTATGTAGGTTTTACTCTAATAATAATCTTAATATTGTTAATAATTATAACATGGTAATTAAGGGTGAAAAGAAAGAGGGTAAACTAATTAATAATTGCATTATGTCTTAATCAAGAGTAGGTTTGAGTTTCCATTAATAGTAATCAAATATTTCAAACTCTTAATAATTATATGATTTGTAAGTTTCCAGCTAAGAAGTAAGTGTAATAACTGTAAATAGGCAAAATAATTTTATGATGAATAGGTGCACTAATACCTTTGTTGACTTCTGTTTAATCAATATGACAATTGACAAAGACTCAATCTTAAGTAGGTTTCTGACATCATAATGATTGAGACAATCACTTTGAACAAGGGGTAATTTAGGAAAATAGCTTGTGTTTGTATTATTGATTAATTTGTTTTGTTTGATTTTAGGTTGTTCTAAATTATTAATTATAATTAAACTGTAAAATAATTGCATATGATGTCGTGTTCAGAATTTTTAAGTGGATTAGTGTCAAGTTTAGAATTTTCTTAGTGGATTTGATTTGAGCTAATTGGGTCATTGGGTGGTGACTTTTTGTGGAGTAAAAATTGTTAACACAATATATAATAGATAATTAAAATAGTAAAGAACTAAATGGGTGTATTTTATTCACCTGATTTTAACCTATTTAAATTTATTAATTTACTTGAATTTATCTATGAACTTATTAGACCTTATTAAAACTTATTTTAGTTGTAATTTAACTTGAGCAACCCTTATCATAACTTATTTTTCCTAAATTGAATTTATCTAAATGTATCTTAATTAATTTAACTGAACTTATTAAACCTGAAATAAGGTGAACAGAACGGACCCTAACATAAACACCAGATACATGAGGCAAGAGTTAATAAGTTTCGTTTTATTTACTCACCTTGTTTCCACAAATTTCATAAAAATAGTTTAGATCATAAAATAATTTTAGAAAAATTAAACTAGTTTAGTTTGGTATGCAAGTACAATTTGTAACTACAACAATTCTCTAATAATTTCATACACATTCATATAAGCTCAAGTAAGGGCCTAGCTGAACTGAATTGATTGAATCTGAACTAAAGTGAACTGAATAGAGTTGAAATGAATTGTTTATGAGAGAAGGAAATTACAAACTGAACTAAAATGCATTAAACTAAACTGAAGTAAAATTAAGCTGAAAATAATAGGTCCTTAATTACTCCTATGAAATAATTCAATTACGGAGTAATAAAACATCGTATACACTACTCATTTCTTACTTACTGTACTAGAAATTGAGCGTTCGGGAAAAAAAGGATGAAAGTATGAAAAGTTGATGAGATTGGAAAACAAAAGTCTATTATAATGGTAGCATATAATAAGAGGATGTCATAATTCACTTTTGGACCAGTTTTTTTGGAGTGAAAGGAGAGCTTCATAAGGAAGAAAGCAGCAAGTAATGGCTACTACTCACATTTTAATTTTAAGTTAACCAATTAAGTTTATTGTAAAAAGTAAAAACAATTATCTATGTATTGACTTTGAATGAAAGTTATCCAATGAGCATATCCCACCTAGGCACCACCCCTTCTTTGAAAACACTCTATCCCCAACTTCTTCACATTGTTTATTAATTAATTATTGAATTAAGTATATATAATATATAATGGATGATGCAACATCCCTCATAATCAACAAAGATTGATCACATAAGCAAGTGAAGCAACCAATTACAATAACAACAAATTTAAGAAAAAACATACTTTGAATAATTTCAATGTATATATTGATGTCATGAATAAGTGTGTCAATAATATTCACTTTCAAGTATTCAATCAAGTTTATCGTAATGTTTCCTTTTAGTCTTACTATAACCGTTACAACTAGCTAAAAAGACCAGGCTATCACAATTTAAAGAAGTTATTTAATTTAAGATGAACTATAAAGAAGTCGTATATAATATTATATGATGTCTCTAATACCACTAAATCAGTTGTCTCCCAATTCTAAACGGTACTTACTCATACAAGAAGTTATTACTATCATTTAACTTTCAGAATTCATTAGAATGAGTAAAGCTTGATTTAATTAGCATATGTTTGCTTTATACTTGTATACCTTTGTATAAATTAAACAATTAATAAACAACTAAAGCATGTATCTATATTTAAAAAATTAAAGCACCTATTCTAGCTTGTATGATGAAGTTAATTTAGGTTATTGGGTTAAAAAAATAACCAGACAAAGAAGATTTTCTTTATATGTTAAATGCACTTATAATTTAAATTACATAGCTAGGTATGATGCATGCTTATATATATATGCCTATTATGCATTTATGCATAAAAGACATAATAGCATAAAATCTAATGATAACAATAATCGAGCTTCTGTTATATTTAGAGTACATAAATAGAATAATGACCAGGTCTAATGTCATTAGTAATTATTTATATCAATTCATTCAATTGGTAGAATCAAGAAATGTAATTAGGTGTACTACCTTACTAAACTAAAATGCTTCACGTGAATGCCTTGGGCTATTAGGCCATTAGGTGTTAACCTCGATTCATAGGGTCAACGTGTGTGTAGAAAACCCAATTTCTTAATTTGTCCTTACCAATGATGACTACAAGGGAACGTAATTAGGAGAATTTTCACAATACAACCGGTCGTACTTTACGAAATATAATTAAGATGATTATTATTTTTGTCTATTTGTTCACACTATACAGGTCACAAAAATGCATATTAATTATCATTTTTTTTTTACCAAAAAATAAAGTATTCTTTCACATTATCATACATAAGATATGGTATGACTTACGTACATAAAAATACTCGTTAACAGAAGAATATCAATATGTAATTGTTTTACTATTCAACACCTAAAAATAAACAAATTAAATTACGCAAAACCCCTAAACAAACCTCAACATATCAAATTTAAGCTTTAATATGGAGTATAATTATAACTCTTTTTTTTAGACGAGAACCAAATTTAAAAAATTGTTGATAGATAAATGTTTCGTACAAAAGCCTAAGTGCATGCTAGCCTAAAAGGCCAAACTCCTTACTGATCTTCTGGTGTAAAGAAATTATGTAGGACACAATCACTAAAAACTGTAGTGTGTATAATAAAACTTAAAAGGTTACGTTAAATTAAAAATGTGGCTCATTTACATAAGAATTTTGTGGTAAAATTTTCACTTTTGCACATTCAACGCCTTAATATTCGGCAGAAATTTGGCGGGGATGTCATCCACTACATAAGGCACCAATGCACCACCACCTCCCTAC